ACAAAAAGGTCAAGGTACAGCTGATTTATAGATGGATCTACCATATTCGGCCATATTGGAGTAGGGTTGATAAATACCACTCGATCAAAAGTCAGAAGAAAAGGTTTCCATATACTTCTCAAAATTATTGTTTTAACCGTCTAGACTTTCAGTTGCTTGCCTCCCAAACTAATCTCAATCTTTGGCATCAAAATAGTGGTCCTACAATGGATTCCTGGTCACGGTGGCATTCAAGGCAATGAGCTTGCTGACACACTTGCTAAGAAGGGGACAACGATTTTGCAATGCATGGACTGTCCGATATCTTTCCACACAATGAAGGCCTTAATCAGGAGAGAATTCAAGACCTCAAGGTGCAACGAACTTAAAGCTCGAACAAAGGAGAAACAGTGGACAGTGGCACTCTCCGACATACCCGACTGGCCAAGAATCGAAGCCGTTGCTGAGTTTAGACTACGTACCGGACACGATTGCTTGGCAAAACACCTTCACAGATTAGGAGTATACAGCCCAACCCACATGCCCTCTATGTAACCTACAGGAGGAAATGGAGAAGACCAACCTGATTCGATGTCCAGCTCTAAAGACAACGACGGAAAGCCAGAGATACTGGGAAGAAAGAAGAAAGCTAATGAACTGCTATTAATTAAGTGCTATAAATGTACCCGCCCCCCCCCCCTGGGTGTAATGAACTGCTATTAGTTAACTGCTATATATGTACCCCCTACCCATGGGGCAAGCTGAACGTCAAAGGATTAAGGGGGGCTAATGATAAATATCATAAAGCCTGCCATTTGAAATAAATAAATCTTTGGCATCATGGCTAGGGAAAACTGGTTGTTTGCCGTTGGTCGATAGCAGTCCTCTGGCCACAAAAATTTGGTGACTTTTATCATTTGAGACAGACTAGGTCAATTAAATAAGTCAGATCCGTGGTGTTTTTTTGTAAATTTCCCATCATCATACCACTATGCTCTTAGCATTATGTTGCTGAATGAACATTTTCCAGATAGCAATAGATGTTATTACACACACCCCTTTACTCTTTAAATTCCTAAATCTCTGAACCTATTATGCATTGCCTTTTTAAGAAATCGGTTAAGATTTTTTTCTCAAAGCTAACTGAAAACAAGGGATTTCGGCACAAATCGGGGTTTAGAATTTAAGAGGAAACGCAAGGTTAAGAAATTCATAAGTTGGTGGGAAAAAGAAGTGATATTTAATCTTTGACGTACCTGTAAATCGGCACGGGCCGACTCAGCCCTATCTCGTTCAGCCACAGCTTTGTGAAGATCACAGCGCGCGGAGAACAGCTTCTCATACAGACTCGTTGTCTGCTCCCGCTTAGCTTTGTATTTCACAAGAGTATTCTTCAATTCTGTTTTCAAAGCGCCAATTGATTCATTGATCTGCGGAGGTAGTGAAACCTTCGTCTGGTCGGTTGAGGCGGTGAATATTCTATTAATAGAAGGACTTTGGTTAATAATAAACATCAACCAACCTGTGTGGTGTACTTGCTGACGCTCTATCTCCAATTTCCTGATTCCATGTTGAAGAAAGAGGTACATCAGCAGCTGAAGATGGTCTCTTCAGCGTTAACACATCCTCTTTTCCATCTGAGTCATTTTGACATCCGGCGAAAGTCACTGACTGACAACTTCTCCTTCTATTTCTAATTGGCGATGTTTTCGAAAGAATTGTGGAAATTTGACCACCCTTAGTATCATGAAAGAGAGGCAACTGATGTCTAGGTGTTAATTCCCGTTCCTCTACCACGGAGAATATGTCCAAACTTTGTTCATATATAGCAAGCTGTTCTCGAACGTCTCTCAATTCTTCTTGCAATATTTCATTAATGTCATCGGTGATCTTTTTTGAAGTTAGAACTTCCTTTATGCGTTCTCTAAGTTCCCCAACTTCAATACAGAGAGATGAAGAGGATAATTCCGAGCATCTCTCCTGCGAAGCTTTCAGTTTATTTTGAAGACTATCAACAAGTTCATTGTGTTTTGCTGTCATTTCACTACACCGCAAACGCTCGGATTCAAGATCCTTACGAAGAGACATCAATTCATTCTCTTTATTGGCAATTTTGCGTTGGGATATCTCCAAGTTCTCTTGCAGCACCTCCTCGGCCATAGCATGACGACGATTGAGGCATTCAGTAAGATTATTTTCCCGCTGTTTAGCCAAATTCAAGCTAAATCCATTGGAGAGCTGAATGAGTTCAGAAGAAAGTGAAGCATTTTTCGCCTCCAAATCTGCTAATTTATTATCGGACTAAAAATTGAATCACTACTATTAGTAAGAAGTAGGGTTTAAATTTCAAAATGATCATGGCTGTTTACATCTTCTTTGAGCTTCTTCAGAGCACTGAGTTGGTTATTGAGAACCGAAACTTCCTCCGAAAGCTCTTTATTCCTCTTCTCCGAATCGATGTTTGCCTTTTTAATTTCCTCTAACTGTCGATTTAAACTCTCAATTTGTGCTGCATAGCAAGAAACACAGCGTAATATCAGAGAGCAAGGACTTCAAACCTGAAGCCACAACGAATTACCTTTAGCCAGAATATCTTTATGATTGTTCAATCTCTCCGATTGGGCGAGTTCTTCCTTGAGTAGAGATATTTCTTGCTGCGCCTCTTGTAGCTGACGTCCGCGTGCCTCGAAAATGAGGTATTCTCGATTCCTATCCAATGTATCCACGTTCTCTTCTAGTGGATCTTAGTAAGAAGGAGAGCAAACAAAAGAGGAAAAGATAATGCAAAGTCCAATGTATGAAGAAAAAAGATGCATTGTCCCAAACAAATCAGAATAGTTTCAGGATAAATACATAGGGAAATATCAAAATCGTAATCTTCCAACTTATTGGAGTTGAAATTTGACATTTTTTCCTTTTAGGCTTTTCATGCTATGCTATGAATATAGGGCTCATAATGTGATATTATTGCCTATTCTTTTCAACAATACGTAACTTGACAGAATAAATTCGTATGTCTTCGCTCTTGACTTCCAATAGTATCCATGACAGTGCAAATTATTTCACTATTCTAATTTATAGTGATGTAGATAAATCTATGATCAGTTCAAAGGAACGCGTGTGGACTACGAAAATATGGATTTCTGATTCTATCAGGACATCTTTCCCACTCCATGCAAGAAGAATCCGTTCAAACTCCAGGGCATAACCACGGGAATCAATAATATTAATACACAATTAACGACCTGAAGATCTATTTAAACAGTTGTTCAAGCTGTTCACTTTTTCTTTAACTTTTGAATCAATTGACAGCTAATTCAAACAGTAAAAGGTCCTTTTAACTTACCAGATTTCCTTAAACAGCATTAAACCAAAAGGAAATCATTAAATTAAGATTCCAAAGAAGGCAGAAAAGATGCAGAAGTTTGTAGATGTAATGACTATTGCAAAAATCTATATCAAAATATGACACAGTAATAGGCATTTCCTTTCATTAAAGTTAATTTTTGAATATCAACACTAAAGGCCATTGATTTTGTCGAAAGTCCTCACAACGCCAATGCTACAATAAATCTAAATAATAATGACCAACAAATACATTCAGTCAAAAGAATAACTAAGAAAGGAATTGAAAAAAAGACATCAGAATTTGATTAGAAGAGAAGATGTCAAGAAAGAAATGGAAACATGAAAATCGTTTAATGAATTTTTCATGATTAACATTTATTTCTGCTTGTTCTTCCCTTTCAGATTAAAGAGCGATGTAGGCGGGTAACGAAAGTTCCTGCTGACTCTGAATGATTATCATCGATAAAACTACTGATGAGAAGAATGGTTCGAACGATCAATCATACTATGACAAAGGAATCAAAAAGAAGTTATAAAGGGAGTGTTCGCTGTCGGTAATCTCGTGTTTGCTTGTGATATTCGCATAAGTCATTTCTGAAAGGTCGGAAATGTGATCATTCATGAAATTTGGGTAAATGATGCTCTTCGAAAAAGGCAAGGAAACCAATAAAGACCATGCATTGCAAAAACCATACCAATGCCAATAAGTAAATTTAAAAAGAACATAAAAGAACTCTATAGTAGCAGAAAATAGTCATAACGGAAACATATAAAGCCTAGCATGAAATTAAAGTAAATTAAAGGACAGATAAGCTAGCGGAAGACAAACTCAGTTGAAGATATTCTTTTTATAGCAGCAAATTATAAAAGAAAATTACTCGATATTGGCTCATTTTTACGTGCTTTAGAGGTAGTGATAGGAATCGGACTAAGACGAACAGGAGAAGCAGAGTCATCCGGCTGTGGAATGAACAAATGGCCGATGAGTTTGGAACCGTCGTAGGCTGGTGAAATAGTCGATTCACGATCATAACTTGGATCAAGCTCATTGCTTATACCTTCAACTATAAATAGGAAAAAAAATTTAAAAATTTTTCGATATATTAAATATAAAAGCATTAAGCCAACCAATGCGACTGGATAGATTGGGGGTACTGAATGTAGTGTGTTTTGAAAGCGTTGAGAGGCGATTTCGAGGGGAGGTCAAACCATCACAGAGGGCGGTATATGAACCACATACAGATCCACTATAATAAAAAAGGAAGAAATAAAAAAATCAATTTCGCAAAGTAATAACAATAATGATATGCCATACGGAAACTTACTTAATATCTTGAAAGTGTTGACTACCTAGTTGTTTATGATAGTTAGGGTTTTCTATACCGTATCCATTGGCATGTTCTGAATAATGAAATTGACTATAAGATGAATTCTGTAAATGGAGAGGAAGAGGTTCCGGAAACTGATCTTGAAAATCGACCTAAATAATTTGCGATAACCCAAAACAAAAATAAAAAAGTAAATATTAAAAAATCATAAATATACTTTATAAGCAAAGTGATATCATTTTAATATTATATCGAAATAAGATTTACTCACTTCATCACGCTCGTGTAAGTCATTATTAGGATATAATGCAGGAGACAAATCGTGGGAAGAATTGGAGTAATCGATTGTGAGAGATGGATCTAAGGGCGACCGGCAAAGTTCATCCTCAATAAGTTTTCCAAGCTGCCATAAAATTAAAAGCAAGGTTAAAGGATAAATGGTTTTTTAAAGTAGACATGATAATAACTCACTTCTGTTTGCAAACGAGCGACCTCATTTGGCTCTTCATCAGAGTAGTAATGAGTAGGTGAACATGATATTGCGTCAGAACACATTTAGCACATTATAATTAAAAAATAAAACCGGTACTAAAACATAAACACACTCAAAGACCACGCCTATATTTTGACTTTGATTAAGAGATACCATTGAATAGATATAACAAGCATTACTTCGCACAAGGTCAGTTCTTTCCCAGAATGAAATTCTTGTGTATAAAATTACATTTACACACAAAAATATAAGCTATAAGATTAAAATTATAGATATAATAAATCTGGTTCTTAGAAATGTTCTTGCATTCCAATTAACGTTTAAAATGTGAAAACTATATATTGTTAACGAAATGAATAATTTTAAGGCCTTTTTACAATCGAATATTTTTGTCAAAGCGATCAAGATTTACTGTTGTAACGACCAAGAACAATGTTATTATCTTGGCTAACAAACTAATTATATTAGTAGTATTTTGACCAATAATTGGTTAGTGAATGGTGCCGTGTACTCGGTATCGCAGAAAATCACTTCCAAAATTAAATTAATGTAGACTGTTGGAATTAACCGAGATCATATTCTGTGATCCAGCAAATAGCAAAATAAGATGCCAGGAACTCCAAAAATGTATTTAATTTACAAATTATACAAAAGAACAAAATGGAAATTTTGGCTGTTCTCATGTCAAATATCAAAATATTTGCATTACTTTGAATAGCTTAGCGATTGGCTTGTAAAAAATTGTTTTCGACATTTCCTATTACTCATCTGATTACCATTCTGCACTTAGGGTTGTTGTGAAGCAAATTCTCTCACCCATCATTATTTGTATATCTGTTATTTCATTAAAAAGTCCTCTATATTGCATCCTCTAACTATCGTTGCTGCAGCGCAACATATATCTGTGCGCAATCAACGCTCATTTTATTTATAAATGCTAATCGCCTGCTTATAGCTATTAGGAAAGAGTTTTGGTCTCATTGAGTGATGCATTTAGTTGCAACTACTGATTACCATCTTCCATCTGCCTGACCCAAATTACTATGATTATATAAAATTTGTCTCCTGTTTATAAAACAAATAAATTGCAAGCAAAAGCCTAATTTTAAGTATTCAGTCAATTTGTTGTTGAAACAAAGCAAGCAATTGCGTCCTTGTGGCTGTTTGACTGCACAAAGTGACTTGTTGTGGTACTGCACATATTTAAGTTGCTTATCATAGAGTACGTTTTTGCTCACCGTATTTATATTTAGAAAGTTGTCGTGCTTTGATACTTTGTAATTCATTCATTTTACCTTTCTTTAATCAGTTATTCAAGATCAAATTTTTGCGAATTGAATAAAGTTTATATCTTTATAATATTTACTGTTTTCAAATACCATTTTATATTCCAGTTTAAATGACAAATAACCATAGCATCAAAGTTGAACGAATATGCTGCGTAGGTGCTGGTTATGTTGGCACTCCGACATCAGCTGTAATTGCATTGAAGTGTCCAGAAATTCAAGTCACTGTGGTTGATGTAAATGCAGATCGAATCGCTGCTTGGAATTCAGATAAACTGCCTATTAAAGAGGTAACGTTCTTTTCAAGTCGGTTTTAGATTTTTTAAATGAATTTTGCTTTTTACAGCCTGGTTTATTGGATATAGTAAAAGCTTGTCGTGGAAGGAATTTGCACTTTTCTACCAATGTTGATTTGCATGCTGATGAAGCCGACATAATTTTCATTTGTGTTAATACCCCGACGAAGAACTACGGTATCGGAATGGTTAGTGCTGCTAAATTTATTAATATTCTTAAATTTAAACATTTTAATGTTCCAAACTTTTATCTTATCTCTTCAGGGTCGCGCAGCTGATCTCACAACTCTTGAATCCGCAACGCGTACATTATCTGCTTGTTTCACATCTTCTAAAGTTGTTGTCGAGAAGAGCACAGTACCTGTTCGCTCTGCAGCACGTGTTGCTGAACTATTAAATAATCAATCGCCTAAAAATGTAATTTTCTTTCCCAAAACTTTTTTGACCTGTTCTCCATTGTTAATTCGTCCGGTATCTTTGTCTACTTCAGCTTGAGCACACTGTTCTATCAAACCCGGAGTTTCTTGCAGAAGGTACTGCAATAAATGATCTCCTCCATCCAGATCGAATTCTTATCGGTGGTGATGAAGATTCAGCTGCTGGTCGACGTGGCCTTGATATGCTTACCTGGGTTTACAAACATTGGGTCCCCGAGGATAGAATTATTCTCACTTCTGTCTGGTCATCAGAACTCTCTAAATTGGTGAGCTAGTTGCCTTTAGGTTTGAATTATATTTGTATTTAATTTTATGTTTTCTGAAATCTTTTAACCTTCTTAAAATTGTATTTGATTTAGTCGGTCTCTTTGATTGGTATCTTTGAACGATTTAATTTTCAGGCTGCTAATGCCTTCTTGGCTCAGCGCATCAGTAGTATCAATGCGGTTTCGGCTATATGTGAAGCTACAGGTGCTGATGTTCGTGAGGTTTCTGCCGCCATTAGTCGTGACTCTCGTATCGGTCCACATTTTCTTCAAGCTTCCCTTGGCTTTGGTGGTTCGTGCTTCCGCAAAGATATTCTCAATCTCGTAAGCATCTTCATTTATTTTTAATAATTTACTTTTAATACCATTATAATGTGACGTTTCCTACTCTTTGTTAAACTACTTACATTGTTGTCACACCATTCCATATCATCTGAAAATTGGGGCATTTTAGACTTATAAGCTTAGCAATATGAATAGGTTATTAAGCGTCTTTAATGGGGATTGCATTGAGGCTATAGGTTCCTTTATTCTTAACCCGTGATTAAGCACTCATATGGAAAAAGATGTCGCACTGTCATAGAGAATTAACCAATAGCATGACTAAAATGAACTTTTCTTTATCAAATCTTGTTTAATCTCATGTAGACTTCTTTAATTAACAAATCAACCATTGATCAACCTGTAATTCCTTCAACCTGTCGGTATCGGATTTTGGATTTGAATGGTTGGAGTCATTAGTTGATTGAAAGGAAATAGAGCAACATATCTTCAGTCGGTTATGTAGTAAAATCAAACTGAACCAATATGCCACCAGAGCAAGAATGGAAGAATATTGTTTTATTCATTTGGTTTCAGTGTTACTGCTAGTAGTTAATGGTAGTGTAGGCATAGGAAGTAGAATTTTCGAATAGCACGATTTGCAGGGTTTTGCAAACGAGCGACTGGAGGCATTTCAAAGAGGTTGGAGGCATGTGGGATTCAAGCCGAAAGAGGCATCCAAATGCAATTTTTTTATGATTGATAAGTTAAGATCATCGTGTCCCTTTCCCCTCTAATAGACATATATCTGTGAGTCGCTAAATCTTTCCGAGGTAGCCTCCTATTGGAATATGGTACTACGACTCAATGACCATCAAATGGAGAGATTTTCACGTTCCATTATACGGTCAATGTTCAATAATCTACGCGGCAAACGTATTGCTATTTTTGGATTTGCTTTCAAGAAGAATACTGGTGATACGAGGTAAGTTTATTTTATTTGATCTAGTAGATAAGGGAGCATCCAAATAGCCTAATAAGGCATGAAAAGCATGTTAAGGAAGTTGGAGAAAGTGGGTTTTAAGGTTTTGCTATTTAGAGTTTTGAAGACTTGGCGGTCTTCACATTACCATATAAGAGGCTGTTCACTGTATGATGTCATAATGCTAAAGTGTAGTGCCTTGGCTCCTTAATTCATGAGTCACTTGTTAAACGATTGATTAACCTTTTGGTGTGTCATCCCACCGCAGATTGTTAGTTTCTATTTTGTTAGAAAGAGAATTTTGTATAGGGAAAGCAGAAGAGCAATCAAGGGATGAGTTCACTTTCATTCGCCTTGCCTACTAGAATGTTTTTTCCAGTATTACAAGGTATACCATCAGCTGATTTGTGAGAGCACGTCTAAGCAGAACTGACCCTTGATGGTTAAAGACTTCAACTTATGAGATACCAACGTAGAACAAGGGAAATCTGTAGGAGTTGTGGTCTTAGTACGCGTTCATTGGGGGAAAATCCTAGAGAAAAGGAATCACAAACTGGAAGGCGGCAAACATCTATAAGACCAAGAAGAATAAAACCTTGGGGGCGGGGGGTTCCAAGGAGCATATAGGGGTACAAAGGCGAGAAGAGGCGACATTCTTGTCTCAATGATTACTACCTTCTCTAGCAGCACAGAAGTTTGAATATATCTAAAGCGTAGGCCTCCTCTTCGTTCACTCCAACAGCACATGCTCATCTACGGGGTTGGTAGCTGAGCCTACTTCCGACTCACCGACAGTACTTGCCTAGGACCGAGCGTAAAATGCTAACAATAGAAGAACTGCGTCAACTTTATTCCCAATGCCTCTTTGGTTGGCCTATTTGTGTCAGCCTTAATTGCATTTACTTTTCAATTTCCCTAGCCTGTTAAGTGACAACTGGTTCGAGCGAAAGGGCATTCTGTAGGTGCACTTCTTTATCACTACTCTTATTGAAGAGATTTGATAGTTTCAGTTTGGTTACCCATATCAGTGTATATACACTGATGAGTGTTAATATTTGTGATTTCTTATCGGGCAGTTGTTCACGATAATCAGTGCTTAGACCTTTAGTTTTGTTAATAATGACTTTTACTCTTTAGAGAGAGTCCTGCCATTCGAGTATGCTCCATTCTTCTATCTGAATATGCCCATCTGGCAGTTTTTGATCCCCAGGTGTCTGATGAACAGATCAAAAATGATCTTACTGAAACCACAAGTGGCGATATTGGTGGGTTATGTCTCTTCCACATACACCTATTTATTTATCCTTATTCTAAGTGGCAATACTTATCATTTGTCTTACTCACACAGTTCACTCCAACCTGACCATCTGCCACTCTGCAATGGAGGCTGCAGTGAATTCCCATGCTATTGTGATCTGTACGGAATGGGATGAATTCAAGGTGAGCTGCAGGTGGCATTATTTTCGGTTTATCTGCGCTAGAGGTATGGGCAGCATTATTGCTTATTGTCAAATCAATGCCAAAAAAGACTTATCAAACCGATGGCATTATTTACTGTTTCACTCTATGTACTCAACAATTGAGAAATGGCTACTACTTTCAACTGTTAATATTTTCCTAATTTAAAGAATTCGGAGAATACGTTTTCCGTACAATTTCGTGCAAAATTTGAATTGAACATCAACATCCACATATAACTCCCAAACTCACTGAAGAAAGAGCCTATCGACTCTCAACTGAAGTAGAGGGTGGTAACCTAGAGTGTCTGGGATTCTGCCACTACGCTCCATGTTAACCAGACTTGGTCGATGAGATTGGCCGTTCAGCTTACTGATATGGGTGTGTGTGTGTATGTGTGTGTGCCGATGGAACTCGAACTTGTGACCTTGGTGGTCGTACTGATGCGTCAGGCATTCACTTTCATTTCCCTCCAACAGCCTATGTTCTTGAGAGCTACATCGCAAGCTAAGGCTATCAAGGTCACTAACTAGCACTTTTTTCAAATCAGAAGACTAGTATTAGGGGGTAATCCAGTTGTATTGGACAACAATAATGAAAATTTGAGAGAGGGAGGGAGGGAGGGAGAGATTGATTGGGCAAGAATATAGGGTCTTCACCTTCAGCCTCCCATCCACCGTTTTCTCATCTTTACCAATTGAATTCCGAATTTTCGGGTAGGTGACGATGACAAATCGTCAATTATTGTTCCATTTTGCCGATTAAACAAGTTTAAAGGGACATAGTAATTTTTGTTCAAAACGAATTAAATTAATATAAGTCTGGAATATCAAGAAATATTTGTGGGATCCTCCAGTTTGTGCATCAGTAGAGCCTCTTCAATTAGGTCATTTCCCATCACCCTGTGATTACGCTGCTCCTAAGCAACTTACTCTAAAAATTCTACTTACACTCAAAAGTGCTCGAGTTTTCCTTTCCTCTGATTGAAAAAAATCACTTACCTCCTTAATGACCGCTAACATCCATTCTAATTCTTAGCCGAACTTCCACTAGGCGCAATAGGGCACCCATTCAGTTCTTTTGTTTTTACCTCAGTGTTCTTCTACTTACCCTATTTAAATGAATTTTTGGGGTTTGCATTGTGCCTCTTTAGAACTTAATGTATGTGAGCGCTTTCCCTTTACTGTCTAGCAGTTGAGGCGATTGAGGTATGTGCCAATAAATGTCACCCGTCTCGGCGCAACTGTTTTGCAAATATATAATTGTCTTAAACTCTCCCATCTTTGTGCTAAGTAAAGTTTAGTTTGTGCTGACGTATCAGCTGAAGTTGATGCAGCAGTTACCAGCTGCCAAATTAATGCACAGTTGCCTAGATCTAGCTGCTCCTTATAATTTGACAAAATACTCGATGGAATAATGATTGCCTCCCCGTTAGCCAATAGGGTTGCTTCGAAGAGGCTTCATTTTCCGATATGGTCAATGAGGAAATTTAGTCAATGAAACATTTATTTATTTATATCAAATGGCAGGCGTTTTGATAGTGATCATTAGCCCTTTAGTTGATTGCAGGCTTCACAGAGGGAGAGGAAAGTCAAGTTAGAAAAAGTCGAGAAGGGCGAACAGAAGAGTGCTTCAAAGATGTTAAAGAGACAGACACAAAGGTAGATGAAAGGTGAGGTGAGTACTATGAAGTGGTGGAATATGACATACGGTGGGGTGATGGTAGTTTGAAGTCAGAAGTCAACTGCCGGTTAATAGACTTTTTTGCCGTATGAGCATACGTTGCCCAGAGTGCACCACATGGAGGTAGGTCTATCGCACACCCCAGTCAATGAAACAT